TTAAAGGAAGCTCTCTGATTGGACAACTGTAAACTCCGCCCACTTGTAGAAGTATTTAAAAAGTTTGGAGAAGCTTCGTTTGGAGCAGTAAGGGCTTATAGACTGCGCTGACGGTTGAGGCTGATAGACTGCGCTGACGGTTGAAGGCTGATAGACTGCGCTGACGGTTGAAGGCTGATAGACTGCGCTGACAGTTGAAGGCTGATAGACTGCGCTAACAGGTGAAGGCTGATAGACTGCGCTGCCAGTTGAAGGCTGATAGACTGCACTGACAATTGGAAGATGATAGACTGAGCTGACAGTTGGAGGCTGATAGACTGAGCTGACAGTTGGAGGCTGATAGACTGCGCTGACAGTTGAAGGCTGATAGACTGCGGTGACAGTTGAAGGCTGATAGACTGCGTTAATATTCCGGACCTTAAAATATAATTTTTAAGCTCGTCTCACATCATTATCTATCCGCGATTGTGTTCAATTTGTCTATTATCTTCTATTACAGTTTGGCTCTCATTCGTTCCTATTTATCGTCCTGTGTCTCCTGTCCATCCCTACCTCCCTCCCTTTCCGTCTTCCTCTCCACAATCATCACTGTCTCATTTCCATCTCCCTCTATTCCATCTGGAGGTGACAAGAGAGGTCTGGCGGTAGAAGTTGCAAGGGGATTGAATGTGTCCATTTTATGGAAAAGAAATTCATTTTTTAAACAATCACTTTGAGTCTGTTTTATTGAATAGTTATAATCAGATAAGAGATTTTGTTCAAATACATTTAGGTATTGTATGTTCTGTCTGTCTGTCTGTCTGTCTGTCTGTCTGTCTGTCTGTCTGTCTGTCTGTCTGTCTGTCTCTCTGTCTCTCTCTCTCTCTCTCTCTCTCTCTCTCTCTCTCTCTCTCTCTCTCTCTCTCTCTCTCTCTCTCTCTCTCCTCTCTCTCTCTCTCTCTCTCTCTCTCTCTCTCTCTCTCTCGGGAGTTATTCTACTCTGATTTGTGATAAGCTGATCCAACAGACTGTTGCTTGCAGCTGCCCGTAGACCAACATATCCACCACAGCCCGGTTGGTCCGGCACTTCTTGCAAGAACTTATCTAATTGTTTCTTGAAGATGTTGTACCTTTGTTCCGGCAATATTTCTGAGGTTGACTGAGAGAGTATTGTAGAGGTGTGTACCTCTGATGTTCAGACAGTGTTCTCTGATTGTGCCTATGGCACCTCTACTCCTCACTGGACCTCTGATGTTCAGACAGTGTTCTCTGATTGTGCCTATGGCACCTCTACTCCTCACTGGACCTCTGATGTTCAGACAGTGTTCTCTGATTGTGCCTATGGCACCTCTACTCTTCACTGGACCTCTGATGTTCAGACAGTGTTCTCTGATTGTGCCTATGGCACCTCTACTCTTCACTGGACCTCTGATGTTCAGACAGTGCTCTCTGATTGTGCCTATGGCACCTCTACTCCTCACTAGACCTCTGATGGTCAGACAGTGTTCTCTGAGTGTGCCTATGGCACCTCTACTCCTCACTGGACCTCTGATGGTCAGACAGTGTTCTCTGAGTGTGCCTATGGCACCTCTACTCCTCACTAGACCTCTGATGGTCAGACAGTGTTCTCTGAGTGTGCCTATGGCACCTCTACTCCTCACTGAACCTCTGAAGTTCAGACATGGTTCTCTGAGTGTGCCTATGGCACCTCTACTCCTCACTGGACCTCTGATGGTCAGACATGGTTCTCTGAGTGTGCCTATGGCACCTCTACTCCTCACTGGACCTCTGATGGTCAGACATGGTTCTCTGAGTGTGCCTATGGCACCTCTACTCCTCACTGGACCTCTGATGGTCAGACATGGTTCTCTGAGTGTGCCTATGGCACCTCTACTCCTCACTGGTTCTATTCTGCATTTCCTGCCGTGCCTTTCGTTCCTCCAGAAAACCAAAGAACCTGTGGCTCTGTGCCTCTGTAGCTCTGTGCCTCTGTGCCTCTGTTGCCTCTGTGGCTCTATGACTCTGTGGCTCTCTATCACAGGAATATTTTTACAATAGAGGGTTGAGGTCCGCTTAATTATTCCTCTTTATGGTGATATGAAGTTTTGTCTCTTTTTAGCCACGTTGCGAAGTGGAAAGGGGGGGGGGGGAATGGGGAGGGGGGGAGTGGGAGGGGGGGATGGGGAGGGGGGGAGGGGGAGAGTGGAAGATGGTCAAAAATGTCACTCGGTGTTGGGGGCCGTCAGAAAGGCCCTAATGACATGTCAATCAGAGCTGTGTGGTGAGTGATGGTAGGGGTGGTGGTGGCAGGGGTGGTGGTGATGGCAGGGGTGGTGGTGATGGCAGGGGTGGTGGTGATGGCAGGGGTGGTGATGGTAGGGGTGGTGGTGATGGCAGGGGTGGTGGTGATGGTAGTGATGGCAGGGTGGTGGTGATGGTAGGGGTGGTGGTGATGGCAGGGGTGGTGGTGATGGTAGGGGTGGTGGTGATGGTAGGGTGATGGCAGGGGTGGTGGTGATGGCAGGGGTGGTGGTGATGGCAGGGGTGGTGGTGATGGCAGGGGTGGTGGTGATGGCAGGGGTGGTGGTGATGGCAGGGGTGGTGGTGATGGTAGGGGTGGTGATGGTAGGGGTGGTGGTGATGGCACGGGGTGGTGGTGATGGCAGGGGTGGTGGTGATGGTAGGGGTGGTGGTGATGGCAGGGGTGGTGGTGATGGCAGGGGTGGTGGTGATGGCAGGGGTGGTGGTGATGGCAGGGGTGGTGGTGATGGCAGGGGTGGTGGTGATGGCAGGGGTGGTGGTGATGGCAGGGGTGGTGGTGATGGCAGGGGTGGTGGTGATGACAAGGAGTAGTGACAGTGGTGACGATTTTTGGTTGTGGTAGCGGAATGACCTTTTGAAGTAGAGAGAAACAAGTCCACTACGGGATCACCATAGCCCGTGCTACTTAGAACTTTTTGTTCCAGGTAGCAAATCTTAAACAACATATGGTGGCGGCGACAACTACCACTACCACCACCACTACCACCACTACCAC